AATTTTTCAGTGGAGTGCTCCAGTGCTTTTTACAGTAATAATGGCATGGACTTTTGGGCCTGCGTGCACCTCCTCGAGATGAAACGCTTTTCAGAACTCAGCAATGAAACAGCTTTGATTCAGAAACGCACAAAAGACACCCCCACACATTCAACTGGCATCGTGTGCTAGCTTCTGAACCACAGCCACCAGTATGAAACAGGAACTAGCCTCTAACTACCCAACTTTCACAGCTCTTAGGCAAATGTAAAACATACAGAAACCCTAGGATTTCACGAGAGGTGGAATGAGAAGCATTATTTAAGGATTCACTGTGTTTTCCTTTTACAGAAGGATAGTACTTCTTTATCTGAAAGAGAAACTATTCTACATGCTCCTTTAAAAAGCCTGAGAGAAGGGCAGAAGCCTACGCTTACTTTTGTTTTTACTTAAAGTTCAACATCTGTTCTATTTTCATCCATGCAGCTATGCACTTGGCAAAGGATTCCTCCTAAACCATCAGTCAGAAATCTAGGCGAAGGCTTTACAGTCCTGTTAAAGAGCCCAAATAATCCTTGCCTAGGCACCAGCACAGGGACAGAAGAGAGGCACGTGACTCCCCTGTTTAAGGTTACTGGAGACTCAGGTGACTCAGGTGACTTTTGTCACAAAACATGTTAACTGTCCAAACAGCTCCCTGCAGGAAACAGTCCAGATGGGCTTTCTCCCAGAGTGCAGAAAAGCCAGGATGCAACTTTGCTTCAAACTCACCCCTATGTAAGTGCTGCATTGAAATGCAGCCTTGGAGCCCTGGCTGACACCAAAGCCACACAAGGACATTTTTTTCTGGGCTGGACGATGCCACTGCCCGCTATCCTCCATCTACAACAGGATCTAAAGAGCTTTCAGCAGGCGATACAATGGGGTTAGAATAAGTCCTGGTTTGAATAAAAAAATTTCAGGCTGGAAAATGTCATAGCTCTGCATTATCTAGAGATAAAAATTAACTCTTATGTTTATTGGATACAAATTTGAAAAAAAATACCAAGCATGTAGCAAAGAAATCAGTAACAGCACTGAAAGTGGAGAGAATGAAAGATTTCACTACCAAAATCAATGTTTAATGGGAAACTCTGAAAAACTTGTTTCCTCAGTAGGTCCTTTGTTTCCCAGCAGATCCCATGACAGTTAAACATCTCGATTCTGGCATACTTCTTTGACTACTTGGTGTTACAGGGAAGGATGTGACAGGTTGAAAAACCCCTTTGAACTCTTAGCTGCAATTTTCCAGGGAGTGTGTGTCCTCAACAGATTTTTGAATGGAGAATAAAGAACACAAAAATGGTCAGAGATGGACCAACAGCTGTGCCAGCGGATGCAAATGCTATTTCCGATATGATTTGAGTTTGGCCCGGGGGACTTTGTCTAAGAAAAGCATGATGTGGTGGCAGGGACGGAGTCCTCCCTTAGGGAATTCCACAGGCCTCAGTGGTGTTATTTAGGAAGCAGCAGTAGGACCAAATAAGCTCTGTCAGAAACCTGCTTTCAAATAGTAGTAATAAAAAAAAGTAAAAAAAACCAGAATATATAATGATACAGAAGCAGAGTTGATTCTGAGTTAAATGCTTTCTGAATTTCCCCAGGAGAGGTCTGAAGCACTTAGAAAGGAGAAAACAGCTTGCATTACCACTATGGTGGAAGCAATGATCTTCTGTTTGAGAATAGCTACACTTTTTTTCCCCTCCATGGTTAGCATTTCACAGGGATTTCAAGGGGGGGGGGGGCAAAAAGGTGGCAATCAGGAAGCTTTCAGAAAAAGATGGGAAAAATGTGGCATCAAAGGGGATTTGTGTTATCAATTTGGAAATCTAAGGGGAGGATTTAAACATGCATTAATATTTTAGTAACAACAGAAGAATAAAGCATTAATGGCATTAATGGCAGAACACAGTTACCCATGAAGGCCTGGATTCCTTTGACAATGTTTTTAGCTTATTTGCTAGAGTTTTTGCAAAACATTGCGCAGTCTCCCAGGAAACTGCAGATAGTCACCACTGCACAAATAAATACTATTAATCTCAGGTCTTAACTGTACTCTAAGATCTACTCGCTTGTAAGCACATAAGTCCCCCCAGCCAGTAAAGCCCAGGTAAAGCCCAAAAACTTCAAGATGGAAAATGTCATAGCCCAGCTGACATGGTAGGCAGGTCTCAAGAATGACAAAATCCCATGCTGGGGCACAGGTTCAAAACCCTAAATTGTCTAACAGTCTGGTCTCCACTGAATTATACACGTAGCAAAAACCAGGTTCTCCCCAAACCAAATGTTACAAGAGAAAGCTATAACCAAAGACAATGGCTAATGAATTAGAACAAGAAAACATGAGGACTTTGAAGGCAAAGTTAAAATTGAATTTGTTAACAGAGATTTGTATTTACCTGCTGAATACTTCAGGGTAGTAATTTAAGTGAGATGAGACAAGTAAAGCTTCATTGCTAATACAGCCTAGTCAAATACTTTCATCTTTTGCTCTCTAATCGCAGATGGAACCAAGAAAGTAGAAACCAAAATTTAAAAAGTTATTCAAACATTTGCATGCATTTGGTTCTCTTATCTGACGAAACATCAAAAATGGGCAACAGACTCAAGTCTGTTACATCATTTTTCCTCTCTGCAACGGCAAGTTTCACAGATGCGTACTGAGGTAAGATGAAAGGCATAAAAGTTTGCAGTCAGGAAAATTGTATCATCATGCTTTTCCTGATCTTACTAGGATCAGGACAAGAATGCAGTATGCTGGAGTGTATTTCCGCTCTTTTAACAAGGAGGAAAGGACAGTTATGAGGTGCTCAGCTGTGTGGAGACAGGCAGAGTCTGTCCAGCAGCAGAGAGAGAAAGTCCTGAGCTCGGAGGACTGAAATGCCTGAGGAAACTAGGTACTTGGCTGATGTCAGCTCTAGCTAAGCATCTTCCAAGATGCGCGAATATAGAATGTGACAGTCAAGGAAATGTGGGAGAACTGCTTTTAGACTTTGTGACACAGGCCAGACAGCATTAAAAGTATGCCAGTCTCTTGCTGTGACCTGGCATTCAGTGTACACGGCTACATTCACCCACACCAGCAACAGCTATTAGGAGAGGAGTGGCTTTCCATATTTTTGGACTGATAGTAAGAGCTTTTAAAAACATGAATGAAAGAATGATTTAAGAGAATAAACATTTGAAATTTTTGAAACAAGTCATTTATAAGCCAAAGCTCAATTTTCAAAAGCACGTTGGGCACTTAAGAGCTCAAATCTCATTCAAGTGCAGAAGAGGCTCCTCAATGCCTGTCACTTTACAGAACGTAATTTTGGTTCCCAAAGGACTTTCTTTACCTAATAATTCATCTCCTTGCTATGGACTAGTATACTGTATCTGGGAAGTATGTTCCAGACACCTAGAGGAAGAACACTGTATTAGAAAACAGATAATTTACTTGCGAATAGTCCAATTCTCTTTTCTCATCCCCTCATAGTTCATTTGTATAGAACAGAGTTGATTAAAGCTCAGTTTCTTTAGAGCAAGGAAGGAACATTGATAATTCGTACACAAGCACAGACATTACTCTGAAGACACTGAACTGTGGCTGGATGTTAAAGGAAGTTAGCAGTCCACCTGGTCTGTGTAAACATGCAACAGCCATAACTGCAGCCTGCTTGAACCCTCTATTCTCAAAATTCAGGTGTCAATCTACCAGCAGCCCTTTGCCCTACAACTCTGCAATGCTCTGGAACCTCTGTGGATTGCAAACCAGAATTTGGCAATCAACATCTAAAATGACACGCGAGCACAGTGAAAATGACTACCCAGCATATTTTTAAAATCCTCTCTCCAATTTCTTTTTCTCTGCTGCTAAGCAGGCACAAAGTAAAACCAAAAAATCCAACTGAAAATAAAATTTGTGCCTAAGTAACAGTGTTTTCAGGAGACTGAATGATGAAAAAGCAGCAGCGCCTGGAACACAGCGAGAGGCTGTTCTAGTGAACAGCCCTAGAGAAGGCAATGGTGAATAAGATTGGGACTTCAGATAAGAACCCAAAGCTTGGAAGTGAATAAAATCAACAAGTACAGTCTTGGAGGAATTGGCAGAGCAAAAAAAAAACAAAGGAAAGAAAAGAGAGGATGAAGCTGTCAGTTCTGGCAGAGTGGAGAGGCTAGAGAAATAAGCTCCCAAAATCTAGACTAAAGCCCGGGATGAAAAAAATCAAGTAAGAGTTTCTGACACTGCTACAGAATTTAGGCAGACAGCAAATTCCATAGCTAGATTTAAAACTTGAAGTTCTTGTAGTTGCACACAGACAACACAAATCTTACTTATTTTGTGCAAGACTATCCGTATGAGTCTGAAGCACCAAAGTTCAACTTCGCTACAGAGGAATTATTGCCTGCTTTTAGAAAACCTGTACTGTTTAACTATTTGTGTATCTTGAGCAGCATAAACACATCTGAGTATCTGTTGGAACGCTCAAAACGAACAGCCATCTGAATTGCAGAGGAAACAACAACAAAAAACCTTAACAGTTTGAAGTGGGTTTGTTTTGGACCACACGTTGCTCTATGAGTATTTAAAACCAACCAAAAGCTCCAAAAACTTCCTGGGGCACAGCAGTTGTCACTTTTTCACATCACTGATCGCCTTTGGTTCCTTCAAAGGCTGCTCTAGATGCAAAAGAGATACACTACAAGATAAAAAGCTATTTTATACTGTAACGTGGCCATTATTTTTTATCATCATCTAATTCTACTTTTCAAATTCAGTGTAACTTGCTGTAAACGCAACGACAGAGACCCGATATAGTTAATTCAGCCATTCTATGGACAAACACAAGCGTTAGTATCTGCTGCAGTTACTTCTCCAATAGCAGTACGTTCAGCTGATTTCAGTGGATATTTGAAAGTTGCCATATTTCATCTGAGTCTGCATGAAAGTTTGAAAGGAGTGAAATAGCCTTGAAGAAAGCACCACAAAGAATTCACAGTTCTCATTGATGACAATAGTTTTTATTAGAAAGAATATCAAAGTGCTTTATATAGGATTCATTTAATACAGCGTTTTTAGGAAACATGATTTTTTTTTAAATGGACAACTTCAATGTGATGATTCTTCAGTGCAAACAGGGCTCTCTAAGATTCTCCTATGTGTAGAGTTTCTTCTCTGTACACAGTAGTTCAAACATCTATGCATTTGACAGGTGAGAAACAGTACTTAAAAGTCCATCCTTTAAAATATAAAGGTTATGTAAAAAGCTTTTAATATGTTGCATTGATTGACAGGAATTACATTGTTTATTGTTTAATGCAGGTTTAGGGGACATAATTCCTTCATACAGTTCTACACAAAAATTCATAAAGGTGCTTTCAGTTTTAACAATAATCATATATACCAATATAAACAACATTGTCAATTTTCACTACATAGATAAAAGGGAAATTCTCTCTCCCCCCCTCCCCCCCCTTTTTTTTTTTAAATTAACCTTCCAATTTTGAGCTAGGGACATTCTTTGAATGCTTGGTGCTTCCTCTGCCTTGGAACTAAGTTTGGATGGAAGGAAGAAGACAATGCAAGGACTGTTCACTCATTTTTCCTCATTTGTGATACACATGTACAATCAGATTTCTTTTGATACATATATGCACCATTTCACTGCATTCCATTTTCAACTCTCCGAGTCTGATTCTATCCCAGTCTCCTTTTTCCCTTAACTCCTCTTTCCTCTCCTGCAAAGGAGAGGGAAATAGAAGTATAGCAACAGCACAAAAATTATGGCAGATGATTCTATGCAAATTCTTCTATATAGTGGAATGTATGAAACAAAACAGGTGGATACCTGAACTTGAGGGGTGTCTTCCATGTGACAGATTTTTTTTTCTTTTTCAGTCAAGCTATTTCCATTAAGAGGGCTATTTTTTCAGCTTAAACAAAAAAAAGCTATAGTTACCTTTAAGAGAAACCATTAAAACTTCATTATACACAATCCCAGTCCAAAAGCTAGATCTATACATCACATGTTTACAGACATGAGCATGAAAAGAATAACTGAAATGAACTGTTCATGAGTGAAATAATCAGTTATGCACATAATAAAAGACTACATGCACATAAATAGTTTCCTTGACCAATTAGCCAGCCGCAGCCTTGGTTGGTTCATTGTTCCCCAGTTCCCTGTGTACAGAGCAAAATCACCACCACTTCAATACTACGTGCCTTGTCACAATACAGTGTCTTTAAACAACAGTGTTACTGCAGCAAGATATCACATAGACACTTTTTCCTACAAGACAAAAGGAACTGGATGAGATCCTCTGAACAGTAACTTGGTTGTGGGAAGAAAGGAAGTTTTTTTTTTCCAAAATGACAAAATGCTTTTGCAGTACAGCCCTTATACAGGGGAAGAATACACATAAAACCATTTTATATATATATATATATATATATATATGAATATGCAGAAATATAACAGAGGTTCTATTTTTTAAGGGATTTGAAACAAAAACAGTTTACCCTTAGGCACTTGTGAATACAGATCCCCTGCCCCCAAGTTCGGTGTGTACGTGGTCTTTGCTTTTGCCCTTCCAGCTGAGAGTAACAAAACCTCGCATCTAGGAATACTTCCTGTTTTCAAGCACTTCCACGTTTTCTGCAGAACTATTTAATTAGGTGCCAGTCAACACAGGTTGCAACCTAGAGGCACACCTAGGCCTCAGTTCCAATCCATGCTGTCCTGCTGATGAAGCAGCGCGTCTCCGATGTACAGCCAACATCATGGAAAGCATCTGAAGGTTTGGACAGGAGATTCAGCTTCTCAGAAGGTAACTATGTATCCACCTACCATTCATTACAAAGGCTGAAAATACTTTCTATAGATCGAATTTAGGCACATAAAGACTTTAAAAGGAGCTGGACTTTTGTGTTAACTGCCCTGAATAGCAATTATTTCACTGACAGGAAAGACTAAGGGGACTAAGGACTAAGACTAAGGACTGGGGCCAAAGGTCCTCAAAATAGAGCCTAGCAACCAACAAGATGCGTGTGGGTATAAGATCTGCCTTGAGGAACCAGTTGCAGGACTGGGACAAAAAGCTTCCCTTGACTTCCAAGGTCATTGGATAAGATTCAATGTTTTCAACTAAAAACTCTTAAGTAGTTAAGCACTGCAGATATAAAAGTTTTTGTTTTTTTTTTTTTAAATCGCTGCAAAAGCTTAAGTAATTATCTGTAAATTTCACATCTTATAATACATCTCTTTAAACAAATGTGTAATTTAATTCTACAGTAGATAAAGTCAAATTTGTAATGAAGTATTACTAGAAGTAATGTACAGCAAATATTAAATTGGCCTATTTAGTAAAGATTCTGTCTCATTATACTGTTTTCCTTTAATTGAAAGCTTTCAACTCATTCTGAAATATGCAGCACTTCCTTGGAGTGGCTCTGAGGCATTCAGAGTATATTTTGCACCTCCTCTTGAATATACTATTCTCTGACCTATTTTGCCCATAAGATGTACCTCCAGATATGCTTTTTTGATACCCGATTTGGATATGAATCAAGTAATACTACTAAATATCCACTTGATTTCAACAACATTCTTGTCTTACAACAGGATACAGGCCTGATTTGCTTATATAAGCACAGCTTCTACCTAGTTTTGGGTCCACACCGCAGTAAGTCAGGAGAGCATTAACAGATCTGGCCTGTAACCTACCTAGTTGTTGAGACACTTCATGCTTGCACAGAAGACTGCAGAGGAAGCAGACAATATTCAAGCATACTGTCTGGAATGGCAAATGCCAAACATTGCAGCTGTGTCCATCTACCAAGTCCATGAATTATCCAAATATTTATCTTCAGAAGGAGGGGGAAGGAATAGCAAGAAAAAATAAATAGCAGCAGGAGTCAAGTACACATTCATAAACAAGGCAGACCTACGTTTGACCATTCAGCCAGCACAGGCTGGGGCTGTGATTCCTCCCTAGCCCTAAACAACAACAGAAGCCTTGTGTGAAGTCACTAATATCAGTAAAAAAGCACTTTTCTGGCATAGCTTCTTCCCTGGGGGAAAAGCTTGCTATAAACTACACTAATCAAAGTTGCTTTCAAGCTGGGAAACTGCATCCACCTTATGAGGCATTTGTCACTGCAGTTTTGTTAGCAAACCTTCCTAGATGTAGCTTTTCAGCAATGAACTAGCAATTTATGCAGATTCAGATAACAAACAGCACACAAAAAGCCCCAGCAATAAGCAAGTATACTCCCATCAAGTGTCCTCTTCAAACTAGACAAGATATTTTCACTGTACAAAACGAGAGCATTCAGGGATGGAAACACATAAAAAGACAGTCCTTGGACTAAGGCCCCAAGGGTGCAGCAAACAGCACATTATTTGGACAACGCTGTTACAAACATTTTTTTTTGCCCTTCAAAGATGTAGTAGGCCTGCTGACTTTGTCTAAAATGCATAATTTTAGTCCCCCTCACCCCAAACCTTGAAAATTCAGCAAGATACAATTTGAAGCATTCGAAGCACCCATTTAAGTAAAATATATAAATCCACTGAAATCGTGACAGCATTGCAATACCTACTCCAACAGGCATCTATAAAATGTTACTGTTGCACATAAATAATGACAAGGCACAGAACTGCAACTAGTCCAAGAGCTTGTAAGCCAAGAAACCAGAGCATAACCCAAAAGAACATGATTATTACAGGTTCTACTATCCGTTCTCCAAAATACATCCTTGTGAAGCCTATTCTGATGAGGCTTTTGTTTAATTCGCCGAAGAGAGTCCCCATCTTTTTATAATCATCTATTACAGGTTCTGCGGTGTGGTTTCTTTGGTCGTGCTGGACCTGCAGATAAAAGACAAAATTAGGAAATATGTTGGACAATCAGTTCTTATTATTATGATTCATGTGAAGAAGGCTCAGCTGTTTCTACTTTAATGCATACAACAAAACATACATGCGATGAAGCTATTTACCAAATCTAGCTATTGAAAATGTTATGCACCTGGAGACTTAAACATGACACTAAGGGTGCAGCTCGCTTGTCTAAACTTGGGATATCTGGGATTTTACTAAATACATACAATATTTTGTCTCCCCTCCCAGTGCTCCTGTAGAGAGGTAAAGATCTCCCACAGGTCCTACATCATGCCTGCCAGCCCAGCATGGATGCCACTGATACCCTATGGCAACTACAATGAAATTGGACATCTGTGTTTTCAGGGAGAGGATTTGACTGAAGTAGATTTGTTATAAATCATTTCCTGAGCATCTTCAGAACCACAAGAACTGTACAGAGCAATTAAGCACTGGAAAATAGGAAAATACCGAACTATTAGGTATTTTCCACTAAAACACAGGAAACCAAAAGGGATACTAACACCAGTGAAAGAGGGGCACTGAATTAGACTAGGCTACAGGGCAAACATCCATCCTGACTTGGGGTAGAAAGCAATGAACGTCACGCAAGGGAAACGGCACAAGGAGCACCCAGGTGCTGAGCGGCACTATGAATAAATGAGGCAGAGGGGAAGTGAGTTCCCAAGCACTCCCGAAAAGAAAAATGGGTTGGGGGGCAAGCGTGGAGCAAAGCAGAAGCAGATCTTTTGGTACAGATCCCACGTTCAAACATTACTGCAAAGAAGACAGCTCGGAGTCACTATTTTGATGCGTAAATTGTAACCACATTAGACCTTGAAATTACATCTCTCCTTCGCATCCTGAGCTTCACTGCACAAAACCTTATTGCCTTGTGCTTGGGCATGACAGAGTAAGCATGTTTTGAAGATGACGATTTTAAGTTCCCTAGTCCTTCTATTAGGTGGCAATGAAAACACAAGTGGCAGCTACTCATCAGTATTCAGTCAATCGATCAATAAGTCCACCAAATTGCCTGTAAACCTTACTTGGAATTAGTCTAGTTCTGGATTCAAAGTAAATGCATATCTTCAATTTTATCTTCAAGGGAGAAAGTCATTATACTTCCTGTGGTTATGCAGCACAGTCTCTGTAAGAAATACAAATTCCTTCCAGCAGCAGTATGGGCTCTCCATTAGAGAGCCGGTAGTAGAAACGAATACTCATTCCAATTGAAAAGCATCCAGCGAGGACTACCAAAGGAAGGTAACGTTTCCTAAGCCAGGCTCGTAGGCCATGATGCAGAACCTTCTGAACTGAATGAAGGTTAGCTAAAGCGCCACAGCTGCTACTAGGAAAAAAAAAAAAAAAAAAGCTACTGTCCTTCAGCTGTGTGTGCTTAGGTAAAGTATTTCTCTTATTTGCTTATTCACACAGATTTTGTTTTAAAATTCAGTAATGAATTCCAGAAAGGGAGGAGTGCAGGAAGCCTACATAATTGTATCTAATTATGCAGGTCTACAGAAGAGAGTCTAAACTTCAAAACATCAATATTTGATTTAATGTATTAACAGCAACCCTCTTTTTCTCTCTTCAGCTTGCTTCCCATGCACAAGTCTGTCTGGATATGAGAACTCCAGTATGGATATTAAAACTCCAGTATTCAGCATTTTAGCTTTAATTCTGCTCATAATTCAAACTGCTATTAGGTTCTCTTTAACTTCAGTGTTTCAGGATTAGTCTATTCAAGAAAGGCAGAGCTGCTTTTGTGAGCCACTGCAGATTCCAAATGGCAGGGTGTTTGCCACTGGGAATAAAATGTTATTTCAGGAACTCCAAGAGCAGGGAGACAAACAGAGGAGAAGTGCCATACTATTAGCCTAAGTAGCCTATCGATCACAACAATTAGGGAAAAGAGAAAGGATATGCTGGGAAGAATGAAATTTATTTGCTTCCTACGCTTGGAGACGGCAGGCTGATGAGACGGTGGAGGAGATCACAGAGCAGCGTTCACCAAGTGGCTGCAGACAGAGCACTTCCGAGAGAAACAGTCAGTGGATGCAGACGCAATTGCTGCACTTTCTAGAGAAGTAGCCTTGAGCTAGTGGCCAGCATAACTCTGAGTGGGGAGAGGAGAAGAAACAGGAGGAAAAAAAAAAAAATCACTTCTTTGCCTCTGTATTATTAATAGCACTCAGCAGCCTGCTGGAAGCCGCCTTACAGAGGAGGAACCATGGGGCACTGGCACAAAGGCTAACAAGAGGCATACAAACACAGGCTCCAGGTCAGCAAGCCAATTAGGTACCACGACATGTTCATACTCACAGTCACAAAGCATGCGTTCTAGACAAAGAGACTGTAAAGCGTGTGTTTAATGACAAAACAAGTATCAGTTATTTTTCCAAATATTTTACAGCACTTAAAAAAAACCCCTAGAATGGTCATGGAAATTCTCAAGATTCCAAAGGCTACTTCAGTTAATTCGGGGCGAGTACGTCTTGCTTCAAGCAACTCAGCAAAAAACAAGTGAAACTGAAAACAGATGATCAACCGTAAAACACAGACGGCATATTTTTCTTCACTACTGCGTAATCATTTCACATGCTGGACAAATACTTTTCTTCAGAGGTGGAACTAAAATAGAACCATTAGGGCAAAGACCAATAATGCTGCAATACTCCAACTTACTAAAAAAATATTAAATAAATGTTAATATTGCAACTAAAAGTTCTCTCATTAATTTACAGGGAGATAGTAAAACAGCATAAAGTTACACAGATGTGCCAGTGTCTGTTGAGTCATATCCTTCGAATGACAGATTTCCTTTTTTCCAAAAGAACTTTTCTAAGCATTTTTAGAAATTGGTTGTCTTCAGTGAACACACAGTTCCCAGTTGACTCTTAATTTGCATAGGACTATTTTCATGCTAAATCTTGCTAAATCATACTGAAGTTATAAAGAAAATAAAAGGGGGGGGGGGGAAAGAAACTGTTCAGGCCCCCATTCTGACCAGGCCCCCTCTTCAATGAGATGAAAGAAAGCTTCTCCACTTAAAAGCAAAAGAAGTTTCTGTTTCAAAGTTGCTACTTGTTTTAAAAATCAACAACCCAGCCTCGGTTTCATAACTTATTTTACATAACATTTTTTGTATAAGGAAGGAGTGGAAGGAATTTCTTTGTCTGCAACAGCCACCACGTACACTTGCTTTAAAGGCCTTTCCTGCAGCTGATCCGCCTCCCCATAGCTGCCAAGTGCTGTGCCGTGGGCACGGCCGGCTTCCATTTACCCAAAGGCAGGAGGGGATGCAGCAGAGGTTTGTTTTATCCTCAGTAACTTGTTTGCCTTTCCTCACTGTTTGAAAGGCAGGAGCGATGAAGAAATTCAGAGGGGAGAACAGAAGTTCAGTTGGAGATATACTTGGACGCACGTCCAACAGATCTCCTGGAAAGAGAACAGCAGTACTGACTTCCCAGCTTCTCTCCCCTCCCTCCTTCCGCAGGCAGAAAGACCCTCTCTGAATACACACATATGGAATTATTCCTGAAGCAGAAAAGGGAATGGGGCTTTCCTGTTTGAATGAAAATGATAAACATCGATCACGTTTGTTTCGTAAGTCAGTGTTATCCAATTGAATTACTCCTTACTGTAGCTTAAATTAATTTTAGACCTCAGTGATTTTAGTTATTTCAGACAGACTGGGATCATCTACCCCCTTAAAGCAAATTACACTAGCATTTTTTTACGCAGTATTATTTCAAATGCACAACCACTGTATACAACTCCATTCTCTCAGTTCCCCTTTCATTTTATATTCGTTAAATGCTTCCAAATTGATAGTAATAATTCTTCCCCCCTCTTAATATTTCATAGTTTGTTTCTATTTTTGACTTAAATACAATTATTTAAAGTTAAAAATAGAGTTATCATATGGAACAAAGGGGAAAGTGTCTGTCATCTTTTATGTACCTCAGCGTGCATGCACAAATGATGCTCTTCACAAGCCTATTTTAACACCTGGAGGTTCTTGAGAAGCACTGGGGTTTTTGTTGTCTTTTTAGATGTTTGGTGTTACAAAATGACATGTTTTTCATCAGTAAAGCTGTCGTCTACTGTCTCTCACTTTGTATTGACAGAGTCAGAACCTGAAGAGCCAAATGTTTGAGAACTTTCTACAGAAACTTTGTAAACAAAATTTGCCCAGTCAAAGGCCAAGTAGCTTAGGGGCTTAAATGCTTTAGAGAAAATTACTGTCATGCCCCCATGAAGACAGAATAACACAAAAGGAACATGTATTTTTTTTCCTGAAACCAGAGAAGCCTCTAAAGAGCACACAGAGGAGATACTGAGCACGACGCATGAGTTCTAGCAACTTTCAATCCAGTTTATGCTCCTACATCCCTAAAGTACTACTTTAGTAGTACTCCCTTGTAATAAAATGTTTTTCTGGTAAAACAACAGAAAAGATAAAGTCAACTCAACCTACTGAATCCAATGAACATCTGGCTGTGGTGTTAACAGTTATGTTTGTCATCAACTTAACACAGAAAATTATATATATTCTGACCACTACCTTTGCTTATGGCAAACTTCCATCACTTTCATTCAAATTCACTACTATCTGTTTTCAGGAAAGCACATGATAACCTTGTGGCTTCCATGCGACGAGCAGACGCCATTCCACATCAGCCTGAAAGCAGTAACTTTTTCTAGTTTGTCCTTTTACATCAGCAGTGTTTTAGCTATAGAGAGAAACATGAGTTCCCATGAGAACATAATCCCTCCCACAAGAAGCCATCTTTAAAATGATTCACATTCTCTTCACTAGCACTGATGGATAGCACCGAACTTTTCACAGTTGTGTAAGGCTGATCCCTGTCCGCATCGCCCAATCACAACATATCCACGCCAAGGCCTCTTGCCCTCCAAGCGCTGAGGGCGCTCAGTTTCTCCCTGACAATTTGCAGGCCACACTGAACAGCCTCCCGAGGACGCAGGACGCAAAGGGGCCAGCACGGGACATGTACCTGCCTAATACTCTGAGAAAGTTCAGTTTCCCTGTTGCTAGCCAAAGTGAGTGTCGAAGCACAGATTTAGTGTTTTTCTTATTTTCCATTACCAGCAAGGCTACCTTGATGAAAGACGTTAGAAGTGATTTTTTTACATAAAGACTGGGCGTCCTTCTACAGCATCACCAACGAGCTCTGTCTGGCGAGGCCCTGCATTTCCTGCAGGCACAGAAAGGGGCTGCTGCAGCAGGCTCCTCCGCACATGATCAAGCCTGCACCCAGGCTCAGCACACTGGTCTTACCCATGCACAGGTCTGATGCTTGCTTAAAGTGATGGATTAACTGAGCACGCACAGATCACCTTGCGCATAAACTACACAGCATTTGCACACAGGTAAATCTCTGTGCCCTCCCAGGGCTGCTGCTCCTGCTGGAATAATTTGGGCCTCCCACTGGGTACAAAAAGTGGCTTGAAAGGAGCTACGAGTTGCTCTGGCAGCTGCGACTGCTGCCTGCCTCCCACCAGCCTCTCTGAGGAAGGGCAGGCTCGCTCATCACCCAACCTCTACTGCACATCTCCCATGCCGGGCGCAATGCTGTGGGGCCACCTGGAAAGATAGCAGAGGGCTGGATGAATTGACCAGAAGGACCATAAATTGAACGGGTCTACAGTGACGGTAACATTTCTCAATCCTGTAGTTCACTACAGCACTAGTAGTAATTACAGCAACAGTTTTAGTGACAGTCTTGGTTTCCAAGCATTCAATCTGCTGAAGCAGCAGCTTGGTCCAAAGTTTTCCACACTTAGCATAAGGATCTTGAGATGGTTTGTTTTGTTTGGTTGATTTTTTTTTCTGGTGTGTGGAAAAAAAACGTAATTGATGTGAGTGAAGTAATTGGATGAAATTCAATGGCCTCTGTTCTGTAGGAGGAGAGCGGATGAACATAAGGAATCTGTTCTGCCTAAAAAAGAACTACTCTGAAGGTATAAGATCATTCAGAACAAATCAAACACATCCCTCTTCCCCCTTTCTCATGATTAATGAATTGAAGAAATCTGGTGATAGTCCTTTCTGTTGCTCAGACACTTAATTTGACAACAGTAACAGTGAAATTGAGCACAGTCCTATCAGATTCTCTTTTCTTGCAGCAGCCGTCTGAAAGAGCATTACACAAATGAGACTTCCAACAAAGGAAGCAAAAGAAGTCTGACAGATTGGGAAAATACAAAACTGCTCTGATGTGGTACTGACTTAAAAGCTTGTAATTTCACATTTAGGAAAGAATGCTAATGGGCTAGTAGGGAAGAAGGAAAAGAAACAAACAGGTAGGAAAAACATATCCATGAAGAAAGTCCATCTCAAACATGAAGGCAGCAGCATCTCTGAACTGTTTCTGACATGCCTCAGATCAGAATTGGTCACGTCTACAGTTTTATATAAAAAAAAAAAAACACTCCCATATTTTGGGGAATTATTTCCAAATTAGATAGCAAAGAGGCCTCTTTTCAGTTTAATAACAAATGTGTTTAAAGTTATTTAAATGAGGCATTCAAAATTGGTTAGCAAGAAATGCTAGACTATCACATATACACACACCCACACATTTCTCTCTTTAAGTAGATGTTTCCTCTACAGTATTTAGTCCTCATAATCTATTTTACTCCACTCATGGTTATTTTTATACCAGGAGCAGGTGGTGTATCTGATAGCTGAAGGCATACATGCTTAAATGTCAAAAAAGCCCCAAAGATGCGACACCAGCATCATGTTTGCTTAGTGAAAAATACTCAACTATTTTTGAAAGCTAGAACATTAATGTTCAAAAAAGACAGCCTGACAAAGTCAGCTCCTTTTAGAGGATGCAAAGTAAAAGAGAAAATATGTAAGCTCAAGCTTACTCAAGAATATGAGAAGAGAGAAAGCAGATGACAGAGACTGACAGAAGCAACCACAAGCCCCCTCCCCTCCAAAATAAGAGACCAATTTCTACCGAGTCCAACAGGAAAGGCAGGGACACCTAGCAGCAAACACACAACCACGTGTGTTTGACAGTTACGCAGCCAGCAGCGGGAGATTTGGGGGAGTGGACTACCCAGCCTTTGCCCGCATTCACACACCTGGCTGACTGTAACTAGACCACCGTACTGCCACAGACAGACTCTGGAGATTTGCAGCTACCTGCAAGTTCACTAGTGGTGGCCTCCCTTTCTCTGAACAACAGCCTCACCCCGTTACAGGGCACCAAAAGCAAACATTGCTGCAAGGTGTGTGACCAGGATTTCATTCTGTTTCCTCATATTTAAGAGCACTTTTTATGTTTAAAAAGAAAAAAAAAAAAAACTTGCCCAAGAAGAGCAAATAATTACTGGAATTTTTCTCATTTTATTCCTCTTCTATGTTAAAAGGAAGAGAGGGGTATCTCTTTGCATTGTTTGTTAGCATAAAACTAATGATTACTATTTGGCCTTGTAACTGTAAGTGGTAAAAAGATCTTGATACTCTGCCAAAATAATATTAACACAACAAGCTTCATGTAAGTTGCCTAGAGAAAACCAACTGGGTTCATTTCTCTGGATCAAGTTTAATCTATTATTTAAATATTAAAAAATGTATAGACTGGAACATGGGGAAAACACTGTAGATCATTTCTGGAAGAAAAAAAAGACGGTGAAAAAATCAAGTTTAATTTGTTTCTCTGGAATAAAAGTACATTCAAAACAATCCAGAAAAATTGTTAATACTATAACTACTTAAAAATACTAGTAAAAATTACATTCTTAAAGGTAAACAGGGAATTTTGATGAAAACCTGCAAAATAAAGACTGTGTTAATATTCATTTCACAGCAAGAATCAGCTACCATTTACAAAATTGAAGCAAGATGTTTCTATAGAAACAAGTAACAACATGAGAAAAGCAACTGCTATGTATTAGCTATATTCAGCTTTTATGACAATTAAAGTTACTGCAACAAACTTTGAAATGCCAGGAGCAGTTTCAAGTTAGTGGAAAAACTCAGGAAGGAGATGAAAAGGCTTTTTCCAGACACTGAACTTCGGTACATGCAGAATGGATCAAACTTCAAGGGTAGCACAGTCCTTAGTTGATAACCTTGTTTTCAGTCCTGATACAGAAAGAAATGGGAACCCTAAACTTAGCCTGTATCAAAACACAGGGAATGAAGAAGAGTAAATTCCTCCACTAATACTGCATCCAACGTTAAAGCGCCACAGACAGAAAGGCTGCCTGGGAGGCTCTGAGAAGCAGAGCTCGGG